AATAATCAACATGCAGCCTCAAAAGACAGACAGATATTCCTCTCTCTTGCCTTTTCCCAAACACTAGGTTTGAATATTATTATTTAATCACTAAGTAATACATCTATCTAGAAAGTATCATCTGCTAAAAGGAAAATGCAAGGGTCAGCTAAGTATCAGCAGATCTGAAATGGTAGTGTTCACGGTCCAGCATTAATGGAGTCTAGAAAAATGCTCACTTTTGGTTGGGCGTGGTGGCTAACACCTGTAATCCCAGCACTTTTGGGAGGCTAAGGCAGGTGGATCATTTGAGGTCAGGACTTCAAGCCCAGCCTGGCCAACATGGTGAAACTCCGTCTCTACTGAAAATACAAAAAATTCAGCTGGGTGTGGTGGTACCCGCCTGTAATCCCAGCTACTCAGGAGGCTAAGGTGGGAGAATCACTTGAACCTGGGAAGTAGAAGTTGCAGTGAGCAGAGATCATGCCAGCACTGAGCCAAGATCACATCACTGCACTCCAGCCTGCGGGCGACAGAGCTAGACTCCATCTCAAAAAACAAACAAACAAAATAACGCAAAATGCTGACTTTTAAATTATATACTATATTCAACAGAAAGAAAATAGATTTTTTTTCTGTCATCTTCCCCTTTATTTTGAGAGATAAAGTATTTATTAACAAAGAGTAAAGAAAAATAAAAACATTAAATGGAACAAGGACATTCTCCTTCACCTGAGCTTAAACGCTACTCTTACTTGAAGTAAAAAGTAGGACAAAGTAAGATTACCTGTTCATGAAGTATTCTAATAATGATCATCAGTTTGAAACACTCTAAAAAACAAATTCAAATTTTTATAATATCTAGATTGAGCCATACAAAAAAGAAATACCAGTTTTTTTAATTGCCTTCATATATATTAAGCAAAATCCTTTCTAAAACTTACTAGAAAGTCTGTCGCGTAATGGATAGTGCACTGGACTTCTCAAAAAGATATTCACAAAATATGTACATAAATCTTTGAAGTCGAAATAGGCACTAATTCTGCATTTGACATCTTGCATTCCTCTTCCTTTTACTTTTTCAAAAGAATTTCCCATTTATTACCTAACTTGAGCTTCATAGTATTATAGAGATAACACTATATTTATCCCTTTTCAAAGATACAAAAGCTAAGACACGTTCTTTTACTCCTTAATGTAAATGAGTAATCATAAGATATAATTTACTAAGAAATGTCAGAAATAATTTGTGATTAAATGTTCACTTATTGTTGGGTAAAACTTCAAAGATCTGTATCACTGTACTAGACGAATATGCAGCAAAGTATTATGAGTGTAGACTGCCAATCCAGACTTTCTGGATCTGCATTCCAGCTCTGCCAAGTACTATTTATGTAACTTTGGGTCCACTGTTTAACCTCTCTGCCTTACCTTCCTAATCTGTAGGAAAATAGGAATAATAACAGTATCTAACTCATAGGGTAGCTGTGTGAAAGGATTATTTATGACACCTACATTATACAGCACTTACCTCATACTGTTGTTATAAGGATTAAATGTGTTAATATGAATTAAGAGCTCAGCACAGTGACAAGCACAGGTGGCACTCAACCAATCTTGCTGTTGTTTTCAGTTTATCTCCACAATCTGTGGGTTCTATGAATGTGGGTGAAGCATCCTTAAGCTTCAGTTTCCACATCTTTAAAATTAGGATTATAATAGTACTGTGCACTAGGGTCATGGGAAGGATTTAATGCAATGCTCCACATAAAAGCTCTCAGTACAGTGCCTTATACAGTAAAAATATTCAATAAATATTTTTTAAAAATTAATAAAATTTTGTTTGCATGAAAGCATTCAATATTAATTTTTTGGGTAATAATTACAAAAATTATCAATGTACACACAAATATAAATATGTCCAGAAAAGATTCCTACACACAACATTTATTTTTAATTATGTATTATCAAGCCTGCAAACTTCCATTCCTCTTACTGACATTGAATATGTACATTTCTTTCAAAGAATTAGGAGAGAAAGAAGTAATAGCCAGCATTCATTGCATATTTACAATATGCCAGGTACTCTTCTAAGTGCTTTACATATGCTGACATATTCAATCCTCATATTCAATATGTTAACATATTCAATCCTATCCTACGATAGCTTCTATTACATCTCTATTTTACATTTGAGCAAACTTGAAAGAGTTCTATTTAGAATTTGCTGTATTTGAAACAGATACCAATTGGAATCTTCTATAAAAGACAGCATATACTCAATCAATAGACATAAACTTACTAAATAAAACAATTTTTGCCAAAACTTTGGGGAGTATATACGTTATTTGCTCATATTGTGTTCTAAAACTACAGTGTCCAGTGCAAAAACCACTAGCTACACAAGACTACCGGGCATTTGAAATGTGGCTAGCAAAAATTGAGATGTACTGTTAAGTGTAAAATACACATCATATTTTGAACTTCATATGAAAAAAGTCCTACTAATAAATTCTGTATTGATTACGTATTAAAATAATATTTGGATATACTGGATAAAATAATGTATATTATTAAAGTACATTTTACCTATTTCTTTTTACGTTTTTAAAATGAGGCTTCTAGAAAATTTCAAATAACAAATGTGGTCAATACTTGTGTATTTATTAGACGGCTGGTTTAAACTCAGGGGTAAGAAAGAATAGTAACAGAGACTTATCATCAAAGTTCTTTTTTCCAATCAGTATAAGCGTTAAGTCCTTCAAAGACAAGTACAGAATGGAAGATATCTTTCTCTCTCTGTCCTTCTTGTGTGTGTATGTGTGTATAATACTGCATATACGCACATTCAGCTCAAGGGACCAGAGAAACACGCTATACTAATACTTCACTATACTCAACATACGAGAACGAAGAAAAGCAAATCTTAGGGGAAATAGCTACAGGAAAAAAAAAAAAAAATTTTAAACTGAAATCATAAAAGTTCCTGGAGTCCAAAAAGATCTAACCACTTAGTTTTAGGAGTATAATAAATACCAAGTTTATGTGTTGAGTAAAATTTAAATTTCCTATCATGGCCTAAGTGGCAGACTATTAAAATACCTGATGTTTGATATCTGGTATCTTCTAGAAAATAACCCAGTTTGTGGATACCTGTCACATTGTTTTAAGCAATTTTGTACATCAAATGTAGGCCTTTAACTGATTCTTCTAAACAAATGCTAGTCCACTACATAGAAGAAAATTACTCCATAAAGTTTACATCAGATATCTGGAAAAGTCACATTTATAGCCATGGCTACTATCAGCTGTCAAGCCAAAGATTATTGAAGAAAACCAAGAAATTTTAATATATGCTGTTTAATTTATCATCAAAGTGACATACTGTAGGATTAAAAACATTGAAATGGTTAAGGAAATTCTACCCTGTAAAACATCCTTTTTTCTGGTTTTATTTTTAATGGCAACTATGATTTGAGAAACCATGAGAAAGCAAATTAATAGAAATCATAAAAATAGAATTAAATAAAATACATACTAAGATTTATTTTCCCCCTTCTTCTGATTATAAAAAGTTAATTTTTTAAAATGGTAATACACTGGTATTTTGGTTTATATTGGAAACTGGCTAATCCATCTATTCTAGGGTTTGTCAACCTTGACCAATCTGTTTGCAGTTGGGGCTAGATAATTCTTAGTTGTGCAAGGACTATTCTGTACACTGTGGGATTTTTAGCAGCATCTCTGGCATTACCCAATAGATGACAATAGCACTCTACCCTTCAACCGTTTTGACAAGCAAAAACACTTAAACATTGTCAAATGTCATAGAATGGCAGTTGGGGGAGTACTAAAGAGCTGCCCAGTAGAAAACCGCTGTCTATTCCCTACCCAAAATATCTTTCTTTGATGAAAATTACTTCAGCACTTCCTAACCTACTATTATGTAGTTTTAGGTGATTTTCCTAGGGGATCCAGATAGCTTCAGCAGAAAAATCAGTAAACCTACTGAAACTACATGCAGAATAGCCTGGTTATATTTTCTGGAAAAAAAATCTTCAATAGCTTTTGCCAGATCCTGAAAGGGTTGTCCCCAAAATAGCAATTTTAAAAGGGTTAAGAATCAGTGCTTCAACTAAAATATTCACAGTGCCTTGAAGCTGTCTTTCCAAGAATATAAAGATTGAAAATATTATTTTATACACAGCAAATCCTTTATTTTCACATTGGTTATCAAGGCATGATTGCTTTCACCACACTTATAAACCATTAATATTACAAAGAGTACATGTTCAGTCCTGTGTTAAACTACATAAGCTAAGTAAAAAGCAGCTAAATATGTAAAATGTTTGGATAACTATATTATAATTCCATAACCTACATAAACATTGTTTTTTAAACAAACTATTCCCAGGTATCCTATTCTTCCTATAATGCAGCTTAAAGTTTACAGGGCCACTAAGCTTTTTTTAGATTATACAAATGTTATATACAACTTGAAGAGCTATTACATTTCGTAAATGGTTTTGGGGATAATAAACACTTATGGAATCAATAAATATATGAGGAGTGGCTAGAGAACCAGAACACTGCTACAAGATTACCAAACAGATTAAAGCTAGAATGAGTGCAATGAGCAAAATGATGCTTAAAAATATGTGATAAATAAACCTTTACAAATCAATCAGAAAATAATTTTGAGTCCACAAATGAACATATCACCCCAAATAATCAATACCATAATATCCAGCCAAAAGCAAAACAACTGCTAAGACACAGAATGTGCCTAGCATAAAAAAGTGATTTCTAAAAAAATATATTTTTTTATGTTTGTTATATACTGACAATTAACTGAATAATATTACATAATAAAATTATGTAATAGTATATAATGGTAAATCATAAAAAAAAATCTAAACATATAGTATCAGACTTTCTAGAAGGGGAAAAATATAATTGCAACTCAAAATGATGTAAATCACCTGGGGGTGAAAAAGATATTACATTATTTACATATTTACCTGCACAGCAAGAGAAGCTGCATTGTCAGAAAGTAAAATTTGCTCCCCTGTGGAAATACAATGAAGCATAACTGTTAATCAATTAGAATATAATATTTTTATTTTTAAAAAGTATTTCTATTTTTTCAAAGGTATTGCCTACCACTAAAGCAATTCTAAAGTTTTATATCAGTTATTATATAATTTTGATTAAATTATGACAAACTATGACAGTTTCCTCTAAAACTATTTGATCATTCATCTCATTTTATCAGCAATGTAATTAAAATTGTTCACTTAAAGTCAAATTCATTTTTCAAGTTTTCAAGAAATGTTCCTCTTCTTTTCATTAAAATTAAGTAAAATCTGCTGAACCCTTTCCAGTTAAAAGTAAAAGCATTCACAATAATATAAAACCAGCTTGCAGTTAATATTGCACAGTGTGTCTAGGTCTGCCACACAAAAGAAAGATGACAAGTTTGCTGCAATAAAAATTCCATGCTTAGAAGACCAGGGCTGCTGCCTATTAGTCTTCATTACTTTGCAGTCTTCTGACAACTGTAGCAGGCTGCTAAGCCCCAAATGGGGTCCATAATGTGATCTGATGATATATGAAGAGCTGCTAAAGGGAGCCTGAACCATCCTAGCCTATACATTTTAACAGTTCCTTTTTACTGAGAGCCCACTTTACCACAAGACTTCAAAAATCTGCTGTCTCAGCTATTGGTGCAGTAAATCTGCCAACTGCTCCTGCAACCACATCATTTTACACCGCCTACAGCAGCCAATATAATGAGTCAATAATAAACTACGGACCTTATAGGCCATGAATAGGTGGTTTACACTGGCAGATACAAGTTTAGGTAAAACCTCCTAGACAAATTATACAAGGAAATCCCTTCTTTACATTTTATATTCTCCTTGCAGTAAATTATATTACTGAGGATTTTTTCGTAATAAATATAGTTTGATACAAAGTCATTTTTAATTGTAAACAAAAACTTACCTTTCAATTGCTGATACAATGTAGCATTTTCAGGCCAGGGTTCTGCAGCTGTGGAAACAAGGCGGTGATAATTAGGCACACAGAGCAAAAACCTATCAATAACAAATCAAATTAATAAGCATGTACATTTACCTAGAGCATTTAAAGTCAATTGCTAAGGTTGCCTTATACATGACAACTAATCACACTATCTTAGATTCTACAGTAACCTGTATAAGCAGGTTAGATAACTTGTTTTCAAAGCATGTTTGGTTTATTGTTTGGTGATTTTTTTTATAGGGAGGAGGGGAAGATAGCGTGCCAATCAAAAATGAGAATTAAAAAAATAAAATAGCCCATGTGCTACAATTCCTTTAGCTTCTTTCAAACAAAGACATATCCTAAATATTACTTATACATATAAAATAATACTCATGTTTAATTCATTACAAAAAATATAGTGAAATAATATTTTAAATATTTTATAGTAAACTTTTTAGCAAAGTAAAATTTCAAGCATACATTGAATGAAAGAATCAAATATATCTGTACCAAGCTTCCATCTTTCCCCACAATCTGGCAGTATTTAAAAATACAGAGGAATCCTGTTGTATTCCAGAAGATTTCATTGCCTTGACCCTACCAACACTGCCCCACAAAAACAATTAGAACAAAGTTGCATGATGAAGCATTAAGTATCCACAAAGTGTAATAAAGCCAGTAAAGCTAATTTTAGGCCTGAAATGAAACTTGACCTTGACCCTTAATCTCTCATCCAGAGAAGACTGCAGCTACAAAGAGAATATTACCAACCTACCAGTATTTGGGAAAAGCACTAGATTTGAATTTTATCTCATCAACTGCAATTAAGAAGCAATGGCTCCACTAACAGAATACACAGGATATCACGATATCAACTTGTTGGATTCTTCTTTGTAAAAGCCATAAAACATCAGAATCACCCATTGTAATACAGTAACTACATTTGCTCTCAGCAATTAAATATATGAGATTTGATAATAATTGACATTTTTCTAATTGTCTTTATGCAAATTTAGTATCTGTGACATAGCAACAAATAACTTTAATATATAATTCTGGCTGATTTTTTAAAATAAATTTATATATGTGAAGAATTTTTTTCTTAAGAATGATCATAGGCAGCCCCCTGGCACCAAGCAGCCTGAAAGTACCCCAGCCCAGAAGCTAAGAATGATCATTTAAAATGTCCTAAAGCAGTCCCTGGAATGGGAAAAATCAACTCCTTGTTTTTACGTATGCTTTAGAATAAAAAGAAAAACAGTAGTAGTACTATAAATAACAAATGTTAACTTTAAGGTTTAGTTTGGTTTTGGCTACAAAAATTAAACTAATATTTAGAGATAATGCCATGAAAACATCAAGTAAATAATGAGCTATACATAGTTTTGTATGCTGTTACCCACAATATTTGTAAGGGCTACTGAATTTCAACATGTATACCAAAACAGCAATAAAACAAAGTATTTTGCTGTCAACTTTTTAACAAAGTAAATTTCAGTAAGAACCCAATTAACTTGTATAACAGTTTTTAAAATAAAAGACAAAGAAACAAAAACAAGCTGACATCAGCAAATTACTCAAAAAATAACCTTTTAGGATAAATTTTATGGTCAGCACATTTACATTGCTTACATCTATACTAAAAACAATACAATGAAACTTGTCTGTTATAAAATTCTAAATGATCAAAGATTCAATTATATGCATTACATTAACTAGCAATAAAGCATCAGAATAAAATATACAAAAATTTCTAAGAATATTGAAAATAAGTTCCTTGGAAGCACAGATGTGTCATGTGCATCTGTGTATCCCATCCTGTACTATGCTTTGCATACAGTTGGTGTTAACTGTTTGTAGAAAGAAGATATTTGATTAAACCTACCATCTAATTCCCTAAACATGCTGGCTAAAGTTTTACTCAACTTAATATTATCATCTATGTTAAGGTAATAGGACATTCTAATTTAAAATTGTGGTAATTTTAACTCTTGGTTAGCTATTTTGTGCACATACGAGACATGCATTATAAATTTTTAAAACAATGAAGAATTAGGTTGGTGCAAAACTAATTGCAGTTTTTGCCCAAAAACTGTGTTAAACCTGTATTACTATATTAAAATTGATGACTCTGATGTTCTACGGCTTTTACAAAGAATCCAACAAATAACATACCAAAACCACAATTATTTTTGCACCAACCTTTATATACACTAGCATTAATCATATGCTGAACATAATTTAAGTGTTATCTGATAAATCAGAAGCTACTTCACTACCCTGTAACATAACAGAGTTCTTATATGAACAGAAATGTATGCGGTCAATAATTTCAGTTAAAAGTTAATCATCAGCTGGGTGCAGTGGCTCACACCTGTAATCCCAGCACTTTGGGAGGCCGAAGAGGGTAGATCACAAGGTCAGGAGTTCAAGACCAGCCTCGCCAAGATGGTGAAACCTCATCTCCACTAAAAATACAAAAATTAGCTGGGTGTGGTGGCAGGTGCCTGTAATCCCAGCTACCTGGGAGGCTGAGGCACAGAATCACTTGAACCCAGGAGGTGGAGGTTGCAGCGGGCCGAGATCACACCACTGCACTCAGGCCTGGGTAACAGAGCAAGACTCCATCACAAAAAAAAAAAAAAAAAGTTAATTCATCATCACCACCATGGATTCTCTAGATCTCATCCAAAAGACAAATATGAAAGTAATAAAAGTTTGCAACATATGACTTGACTGCAAATAAGACTAAAAAAGCTGCCTACAAATACTAAAAGCTCTGTTATTAAGAATCTAAAGCTGGAAATAGATGAAAAGGCTGAATATTTTACTCAATCCAAGACATAAACTCTGTTTCAACCCAGAAATCATTATTGAAAATAAATTCTCAGAAAGTAACTCTACCAAAACATCCAGTGTTTCCATCACAAATAGAACTCACGATTTAAAAGGGAAGGAAATTAGGCTGATACAAACCTATATAACCATGTTATCCTAGCAACTAGGAATTGCAGTTTATAATGCAGTAGTCAGGAAACGGTAGAGTATACAAAGAACGACCAGCTGCCTATGTCTCCCATGAGTAGCTCAAAGAATCTAAATATCACTGACTTGAGTGCATCATCTACATGATTCTGCTAGGATGTTGGAGTTGTAAAGAATTACCTGAGGTCGGGTAATTTATAAAGAAAAGATTTATTTTGGCTCATGGGCCTGCAGACTGTACAAGAATACAGTGCCAGCATCTGCTTCTGGTGAGAGCTTCAGGAAGCTTATAATCATGGCAGAAGGCAAAGGGGGAGCAGGTGTCACACACAGCAAGAGCAGGAGCAGGAGCAAAAGAGAGGAAGAGCCACTCTCTTTTAAAAAACAACAAGATCTCATGTGAACTCAGAGAGAGAACTCACTATCAAGCATAGCACTGAGACATTCATGACGGATCCACCCCCATAACACAAACACCTCCACCAAGACCCACCTCTGACAATGGGGATTAAATTTCAACAGCAGATTTGCAGGGGACAAACATCCAAACTATATCAGTGACAGAGCTCATATAATTACATATAAAGCATGATGAAAGAAAAAAAATCTCCTGTTTGTTATTCGATAGGAGTGCCAAAAGTGAAAAACCTAAACTGGGCAATAGATCTACAAATAAACCATGCAGGTATCATTCTAGGAAATGAGCTCTGTAACTGTCTTCATATGTAAATCTATGAATCATGAAAATTATTATTCACACCTAACAGAAAGAAAGCTATTTATTGGTTTGGGAATACCTATTATGTAAAACGCAAAGTCCAAAAAGGCAACTTCTTCCCTATGCTTCTCTTTCCCAAGGTCGAAGTCAGTAATCACCCCCCTTGCTCCTGAGCATGTATAAAAGAGAAGATTAAGGATTTAAAATAATGGCGCTGACAATACACATCCTAAAAATCTGTAGCATTTAAAGAGGAAAATCATTTTAAAACAATAATAAAACATTTTTATCTTTTACCACTTTTTCTTCAGTTGACCTGAAATGTTTTAGACCACAAACTACTGCAATAGTAAATAAAATGTCATGACTCGCCTACTCTACTTTCAGTTTCTATTACCAAACACACTCCCTGATGTGAAGTGCCATTTAAACACACCTAAAGGAAGGGCCAGCCTTAGAGTATACATACAAGGTGAGACTGAAAGTTTCTAAAAAAGGGGTTGGTAAGAAATGGAAGCTGAGGAAGAAAGTTGTCCAATGCTGACAGAGTGCAAGTTATTGGTATTCTCAGCACACCAAAAGTAAACTTATGCTTAAGACACATCAATAGTTATGTGTGGTTCTTGGAATAAAGACCAGAATCTTCAACATGGCCTACAGGACTCTACTTGGCCTTTCAAGTTACCCTCTCTGCCAGCCTACCTCATCACACACATCCCCTACCTTGCGTCTCTGCACTCCAGCCACACTGGCCTTCATCCAGTTTCTGAATGCACGTGCTGTTCCTTCTGCCTAGAACAATTTTACCAATTTTACCCTCCTATGGTATTGTCACATCTCAGCTCAAAAATCACTTCCTCAGGTACAGCCAGGTTCATGAGCGTGTAACCTGTGCAGCTGCATAGGACCTGCACTTGGAAGGGTCCCGTGCTTGGTTTAATGTTCTGCTGTCTCAGTCTTTAAAGCCAATAATTTTTTAATATTTTCATTTTGCACTGTGCCCCACAAATTATGTAGCTAGTCCTATCTTCAGGGAAGTCTTCACTGACCTCCTTGAATAGTTCAACCACTCCTTTTACAAGCTCTTATAGCATGCACTCCCCCATCTGTATTTTTACATTTAAGTAACTATTTGATTGTTTAATCTCCTCCTCGAGAAAATAAGCACCAGGAATCCAGCATTCATGTCTGATTTTTGCTTACTATCTTCCCTAGAACCTAGCACATAGCAGGTAATCAGTAAATGTTGGCTGAATAAACATTCGTTTTTATTATTAGCACTATCATCATTGTTGTTATTACTCTGTACTATTCAGGCTAAGAA